GGTATGAAACTTCTTGGGTATCAGGGAGGAGCTACCTGCTGATTGAGCATTGTTGGACTCCTTGCATTTAGTGACTCCCATTGCACAGTTAATTTGTAATTTATACTTATACCTGAAGGATTTTAATAAATTGAGCCATTTATTTCAAGTAAGTAATCATTGGCTACTATAGTTCCAGTGAAGTAATAGAATTTGACCTGTAGTAATTATAGTTATTTCTCCTCTTGTAGGAGATAAATGAATGCCTCTTATACAGTAAAATATTATGTAATGTAAATTTAGAATCTCAGCCAGTTGCTTTTAAAGTACTGTAGATACAACTTAACAATCTTGTGTTAAAAATTTGGTTCCAGGTTCCTTTGACATAGCAGTAATTTTGAAGTAAATTTAAAATGGCATCAGCTCATTCTTTTTAGTTAGATACCTCTTGGCTGGATAAGAACATTGTTCTTAAGGTTTCCTCAAGGAGTCTATAAGAACTGTGTTAGTTTCTGATCAGATGATCTGGGAGAATAGCTGAATTACAAAGATGGGTCTCCATAGCAATTCTGAACTCTGTGTTTTAATTTATAAAGTAGACATGGCAATGTCTGTGTAGTTCTGAGCTCTAGATTTGGTCTGTTATTTTATTTGGAACAGTTTCCGTTTTAGGTCTTAATGGCTACTGCAGGTTTTCTGTACTTAATTGTGTACAGATTTTTCATTTTATTTGTGTTCCTCCCTAGCACTGACAGACTTTCAAGATTTATTTCATTTTTAATCCCATTGTTGGAGTTAAATCTGTTTGGATGAACTTTTACCTTGTTTTCAAAGGTACTCCATAGAGAAATTAGCATATTAGGTGATAATAAAGGGGTTTTACACACCTGAACTTAAAACTGTTAACGAAGCCTTACTGTTTGATCTAGTAATTATGTCAGTAGGAAAATAGGAAGTCCATGCAAGTCTGGAGCAAAAGTTTAGTTTCACATATCACCAAGTTTTAGACATCTTATGGTTATGGACTCTACTCTAGAGAGAACTTGACAACCCCTCACCCCATTTTGTGGTTCTCCTTTAAACACATTTCTGGTTGCCTTTAATTCCATTTTCCCTTTGCTCTCAGTCCCATCTTGATGCTGTTTCTCTTACCATTATCAACTCAGTTATTTTTTGTATCCCATCAACTTTATCGTTTATATTGTTGACCTTGTTGATTGTGACCAGGGTTTTTCAAATAATCATTGGCAACAAAGATGAGTAAACAGGCTTTATTGCCTCAGGCCAGGCCTTTCTTTTCTTTTCACGTTTACCTAGGTGTTTTTGTTTATATATATTTTTTAATATTCCAAAGGAATAAGTGCTGGCTCACTGACAATCTGCCTATTACGGAGGAGAATTTTATTAGCATTCTCGATGGTATTTACTAGATTTGAGAATGCAAATGCCATTAGTCATAAATTTGCTAATTCTGACTTCCACTTAACCTAGTACAGTGCAAGAAACTCTTACAAGTATTTTACAGTTAACCTTTGAACAGTGTGGGCTTGAACTGACAGGTCAATAGTAAATACTATAGTACTACACCATACAAAGGTGGTTAAATCCAAGGATGTGGAACCCCGCCGACGTGGAGGAACCGTACTCTTGGATACAGGGGCCAACTACAAGTTAATGTGGATTTTCAACTGCGGAAGAGTCTGCACCCCCAAATCCCCATGTTGTTCAGGGATTGACCGTGTAGTATAAGGGTGATGTAGTTTTAAGGATTTTGAAAAGGGATATACTACAGCCATTTGTAATGTAGATTGTAAAAATAACTCCATATTTTGCTCTAAGTGATTTGCTGCAAATTTAATCTTTGCTTCATAAGCCAAATATGAAGTCTGCATGATTAAAACTGATAATGTTAGTGAAGCTTTATTTGACTTTCTTTAATGGACCGGTAAATTTTTTGGCAACATAATGTCAGAAGTTACATGTACTTGGAGTAAAATGTCACATTGTAGTTTGATAAGAGATGGCTAGATTTAAGTAGTTTAAGTAGACATAGGTACTTTATTCATGTATGGAAGGCCTTTATTCAGCTGGCATGGAAGCAACTAAAGTTGGCCAAATATGTAGGTTGAGCTTAAAATGTGAATTGTGGAATATTGAATCTGGGGAGATTTCTTGGTTATTAGCTTCAAAACTGCATATACCTCTGAACCAAGATAACATGAACTTGAAGCTTGTAGTTAGCTTTTTGCTACTTTGAGCATTGAGGGTTTTGGTCAAGTTAAATTGGACCATTCACTTCATAACGGTGTTGATCACGTTACCAGTATTAGAGCATCTGAGGGCACAGTGAGGCTTAGATGACATAGTTGTATCATAATGGATATAAAAAGCAGTGCAGTAGTATTTGTAATTTTTCAGCTCTAACTGACAATATCAAGTGTTGGCAAAGATGTGGAGAAGCTGGAACTCATACATTACTGGTGGGAATGCACAATGTACAGTTACTCTGGAAAATGGTTTGGCAGTTGCCTACAAAGTAAAGCTATGCACTTACCATATAATCAGGCCATCCAGTTCCACTCCTAGGTATTTACTCAAGAGAAATGAAAATTTGTCCACCTACAGAGTTGTACTTGAATATTCATAATAGCCCCCAATTGGAAACAATCCAAAATGTCTGCTAAAAGAACCGGTAAGTTGTGATGTATACACAATGGAATACTAATTAATAAAAAGGAATTACTGGTTGATGCAACATCATGTGTGAATCTCAAAAGCATTTTGCTGAGTGAAAGAAGGCAAAAATCTACACTGTTTTAGAAAAGACAAAACTATAATGACGGCAGGTAAGTAGCAGTGGTGTTGGTAAAGGTGGTGAATAGGAATATGAGAGAACTTTGGGGGGTGATAAAGTTCATTATTGTGGTTGTGGTTCCAGGACTGTGTATGCACTTGTCAGAACTCATCAAACTACATTTAAATTGGTGAATTTATTTGTAAGTTATGCCTTACAGTTCCTTTGCTTGTAATGATGTCTCTTAAATATTAGATGGTATGGCGATTTTATAAAGCTGTGTTATGTTAATCCTAGGCTAGATCTTGTTTGAGACTTTCAGATGAACAAATTGAGTCTGTTACAACTATTCTTTTGGTACATCTTAGTTGTACTTTGATTTTGTGAAGCAAAAGGAAGAATAATCTGAGGACAGCTGTGTGGTGATCAAAGAATAAGTCACACAAAAGAGGTTAAGGTTAAGCTACTTTGTGCTAATATATTTGAAGTCTTTGGTTGTGAATAAAGTTTAGGATGCTTTGAATGACACTTTTGATCAGGATGATGGTAGCTTTGAACATAAAATGATAAATGAGTGAAGCTTGCTATGAGATCGAAACATCATTACTTTAGAAACCTTTTAGAATATAGCTACTGAAAGAGTTGTTATTTAAGAAAAATGAGGATATGTGTGCCTGACCTGGTTGGTATAGGATGTTGCACTAGTTTTATTGGTCACCTCTGTGAATCTTAGGAATCTGTTTTCTATCAAGGTGCTTAACTGTTCAATAGACAGCCATTTTATTTCACACTGGTAACTTTGTTTTTAAATTATAAACAATTTCACATAAATGGAAAAGGAGTGAACATGACCATGTTTAATATAAACAAATGTTAACATTCTGAAAAATATTAAATACAGACATTCACACAACCATCCTGAGGTTAGTTATTCCTGTGTGTGAGTTCGCATTCGTGTATATGTAAAATGGATTTGTTTACACACAACAGTTACATAAATGAAATCTTCACTGGATATATCTTTTGCAGCTTGTTTTTATTTTTTGACTTCTAATTATCAATACAATAATGAAACTGGCAGAATCTAAATGCTTACGGGACTGATTGATGTCCCCTCTCTCAAAAGCCCTAAAAGTTCTTACTGGGAAATGAAGTGAAAAGAGAGATGAGAAGTATATACCTAAAAAACAAACAAACAAAAACCCCTCTAGTATTAAATGTTTTAAAAAGGATTGTTTTCAACTTACATAAATCTTTAGCCTTCAGTTGAGTTTCAGTTCATTTTGAAATTGCATCATTGTAGAATTGTTAAAATTATACTCCATTATATTTATGAAACATTTTATTGCCTGTTGTTTTGGATTGGGATTAATAAACTTCTTGGGATGTAGTTTTCATGTGGATAACTATTAATTTAGGAACTATGGTGGTGGTGAGAAAGTCTATTTGGAGGGGAGTGGAAACCTCAGGGAGGGATTTTCTGGAGAGGCTAAATGGTAACTATTTTGAATTAGAAATCTTCTAAAACGTATCATAGTGGCCTAAAGGATATGTTCCTTATACTTTTTTACTCCTGGTTTGGTTGAAGATAATGGCACTGTGGTGTAGTGGTTCTTAATTGAGTATCTGTTATGTACCAATCACGTTACATGGGTTTTTACCCCAAAGATTCAGAACAGTACTTTGCTGCTAATGCTGTAATATTCATCAATTCTGTTGAGCTTAATATTAATGGCTCTGGCCATTTAATGTATGACGATGTTTCAGTTCACATCTACTGTGTCATTTTGCTGACCTGCTACTGTCACTTCTCACTGGTGTGTGCCTGTATTTACATAGTCCTCCCTGCTTCTAATTATTTATGGTCTTAGAAAAAGCTTTAGTTTAATACTTATGTGTGTGGTGAATAAATGACCTTTGAGTTTGGTACTCTTCAGAATCTGAGTTAAATACGTGTTTCAGTTCACAGACTCCCTTATCTTTACGGTGAACGAAAAACTTACTTTTTTACGTCAGTGCTGAGAAAGAATGGTTGTAGAATAGCTGGATTCCAGGTGGTGTGTATGTGCTATTTCTGAATGAGTGTCTCCATTATGCTGAAACTAATTCCTCCCAGAACATAAGTTTTCTAGATATTATTTGAAGAGAATATTTTTGGTAGAACCCAACCTATTTTTTTTTAACTTGAAAGTTTATATCTTGCCAAATTTTGACTTTTTTCTTTTAGAACAAATTCTGTACAACATAAAACAAGAGTATAAGCGCATGCAGAAGAGAAGACATTTAGAAACTAGTTTCCAACAGACAGATCCATGTTGTACTTCTGATGCACAGCCACAGGCATTTCTTCTCAGCGGACCAGCTTCACCAGGTAATAAAAGACTTACTAAGTAACATTTCCTTTCACTTATGGGAAAAAGTAATACAAGTTGCCTTCGGTCATCAAGCTCGTTTCTCCCCTTGATTAAAAAAAATCATTTATACGAATAATTCATGATCTCTTAAAAATATGGTACAAAAGTAATAGCTACCTGGATTCTCATGACTCAGAGACAACCACCTGTATATAATATCTCCTAAGTGGACTTCCCCATAAATGCTATGATTTGTAGCCTCCATTAAAAAAAAAAAAGATATAGCCACGTTTCTCTGTTAGGTATAGGTGTACCTTGCCATGGCTGAATACGATGCCATTTTATGGATTTCCCATAATTATTTAATAATGATAGATAGACTCAGAATTTCTGCTATTACAGTATTTACAAAAATGTCCCTGAACATATACCCTCACATACTTGTGTTTTAGGATAGATTCCCTAAAGGTTGATAATATTGATCCTATATTGGTTTTTTCCCTGCCTCTTGTTGGAGAGAATAGTTTGCAAATACACTTTTTAAAATTTAAGGTGTAAAACTCAGGGCTGTTTGAAGTGAAGGGAAAGTTAAACTTCTTAATAAAGAAGAGCCATCAAAAATGGTTCTTACTTTAGTAAAGTTCTCAGCGAAAATAGTTTTTTGTGTGACCGTAGTTGCCTCCTTGCCTTGCCTTCCCTTCCCTCCCAGCAGGGATAGGAAAACCAGGCAGAATAACAAAACAAACATTCACAGGCTATAAAACAGTCAAATAAAATTAGATTAGGAAACATGAAATTGTTCAGAACTAAATTCTGCAGTATTCCTGCCAATTTGGGGGGCCAGGTATAAGTGGGTGAAACTTGGTAAGGGGAGGTGAGGGTAGAGACAAGACTCTACCCTCAGCGGGAACCAAGCTCATCATAATTCATCACTTTACTTCTTAGAAGATAAATGAACTGGCAGTCTCAACTAACAAAGCTGTGAATTTGAAAGTAAATAAAGATAGAGGCTTACTTTTTAGTAGCTGTGGACTGAAGCTGGTATAGTTCATTCTTGTATACCAGAATACAAGGATTCTAGTATTGTTACAGCTTGTTGGTAGACACAGCACAAACAAACATACTTTTTTTTTTTGGACATAGTGGTCCCGGCCATGCAAGTTACAAGGAGCAAGTGAAAAGAGGAATTGGGGCAGATAAACAGGACAAACAATTGATAGCAAAAGTGTGTATTTGTGTGTGTCTAGAATACTTGCAGCATTGTTACCGTGGATGACTATCATAATCCTGAGTTCGCAAAGGTTAATTTCACATGTTCTTTTTAAGAAAAGGGGAATGTTTTTGGAAAATCAGAGTGCCTTAAGTAATACTTTTAAGAGGAATGCATTCTGAAGAAACTGCTACTAAGTGGCTGCTACATTAATAATCTTTAAGGATGCTGAAACGTGAAAATTAATGTTGAATATTAGGGATATATTCTCAGTATTTCTTTTTATAAAGTCTCTCCTAGCTGATATCATTAATTTAAAAACAAAAAATTAAGTTTTGTATCTTGTCACATTGTCTCCACTCACCTTCACACTTCTTCCCCCTTATATTTGATGGCATACATCTTGCTGTGTTCTTCCAAGGCCATAAGCTGATAGGATTAAACCTGTTTTAAGACTAGGGAGATGCTGTGCTAAAAACTGATAGAAAAATGCTTTTATTGATATATAAGCATTGAAAACATCCAAGTGAAACCTCCTCAGTTAGATGATGCTTTCTGTGATGGCTCTAAATCTGGTGCGGTTTTTGTTGTTGTTCATAGGGACTCCATCAGCAGCCTCCTCACCATTAAAAAAAGAGCAGCCCTTATTCACTCTACGGCAGGTTGGGATGATCTGTGAACGTTTATTGAAAGAGCGTGAAGAGAAAGTTCGAGAAGAGTATGAAGAAATATTGAACACAAAACTTGCAGGTATGAGATGAGTTTTAGAGTCTCCCAGAAACTCATCCTAAGAAATGCATTCTTTCTCACATACACTTCACATCAGTTAAATTACCCTTTCTATACACTGGTATCTAAGAACCAGAGAATTTCAATTCAAGAAAGGAAATGAACTTTCCTATAGCTCGTGGTCCTCCTTAGTGACCTTAAGAAATAGTATGTTAGCCATGTAGACCAGCAGCAGTATTAGGGAACTAGAGTTTTCTTTTGGTATACCCTGTGCTTTGGCTGTTTACTTAGCTCAATTTGGTTGTGGGTTTTTTGACTTTGTATCTTTCATAATTTTGCCATCAGTTCTGGACACTTGAAGTAATCTAACTGGCACTGTGTACCTAATTTTAGAGTATCAAGCTGCTGCGGTCTTCTTTAAATTATCCAAAAAAAAATTTTTTCCCCCATAAAATTTGGTAATTTAAATGTAGTAAATATATTATGTATGGTAACTTAATCAGAATTCCCCCCTGGATTTTTAAGCCACAGATTTTTACTGGATATTGATATTGTAAACTTCTTGATTAAGGAGTTAAATCAATCAAGATGCTAACACAGGTGAGAGAATTTGCTTAGTTATATAACATCTTTTTCTGTGGCACCTGATTAGGTTACAGGTGGATGTATCATATATTTTGGATGTATGGATGTATCATATATTTTGCTGCGCTTTTGTTGTCATGTTTCCCCTCATTGCAGTAAGTTGCCATTCATAGACCACTTATAATAACTTTCAGAGGAGAAAGATATCTTTTTATTGCAAGCCCTTTAAATTTAATAGGTTAAGAAATAAGCCCCACCCAGCCTATACATGAGGTTGTGTGATTTGAACAAATGTAGGTTTCCTAAGCTCCATGCTCTTTCCATTTGATAAGCTATTATTACTGAGGTTTTGTGTCTGATTAAGTGCCAGCTTAGAATTGTCTCACTATATATATTGGACTTTTCAGGTTGTGTGGCTCTAATATATTAGAGAAGGGGGCATTTTTGCAAATCATGTAATTGATGTTTATCTTTATTTATAGAACAATATGATGCATTTGTGAAGTTCACGCATGATCAAATAATGCGACGATATGGAGAACAGCCTGCTAGTTGTAAGTATTTCATCTTTAAACCAAAAACAAGACAGTCTTTTATGGAGAAGACTTTTGTTATAATTATAGTTTATTATAATTATCTTAATACCCAAGAAGAGAATTTAACAGAAAATCATGGAGAAAAAGTTTGGAGGGAAATAGGCAGCAAAACTTTACTAAGGCTTACTTTTGGTTACTTAAATACCTAGGGGCAAATATTAGGGATGAAGATTTGGCATGTGTTTAAATTTTGACCTAAACTTAGCCCTAATTTTCCTTTTTTCTCCCTTTAGATGTATCATGAATCATGTTTTCTGCATTTGTGGGCTGCCTGTTCCTTGTTGCGTTGTTGCAAGAGGTCCCAGTTACAACATGCAGCAATGCCAATACCCCCTGTGAATACAGGTTGTTTCAAGCTTTCGTCAGTGGCAACCACTCCTAGGCAGCAACCGGTTTTGGAAATTTCCTTGATGTCAGTACCACCCGGATGTGGACCTTTGCTACCTGTATTAATGCCAGTGGCCTCATTTGCTGTGTCATTACAATTTGGCTTCTTATATTAATGTTTGGAAAGGATTAAAGCTGGTATTCTAAGAACATGCCCTTCACTGGTTGTGTAAATAAAACTGTAGAATGACAATTCAGATGAAGTTAGTGTGATTTTAATTGTGCACTACAACCAAGCTGTAACCAGTTATTAATAATGTAGAGTGTAATCCCAGGACATTATTAAGCAAATAGCCTTCAGTGCTTCCTGTGAAATAGTGAAGGAAGAGGGCATTTCTGTACTCCAGGACTTCTTGGGGTTTCAGAATGGGTTTATATGATTTACCCCCACCCTTTTTTGGTAGTTTTTATTTATTCTATCAGTCTTTTTAACAAATGTTTATTGCTGCATTTTTTTCCCAGTGTATCATTGTTTTACTGCCCTTGTAGTACTGGAATTTAGTTGGAAGAATAAAACATTTACTTCTAATCTGCTTGTTTTTAATGTACAGATGGGTAGTATTTGAATAAAGCCAGTGTTTTAAACGTAAGCATTGTCCAGGGATCAGTGAAGTTAATTGATAAGATTTCAAAATCAGTCTTTTCACATACCAAGTAATCTTAAGATTTGAGTGCTATTTTCACAAACTGAGTTCTGACTCCAAATTGTTTCTCTTCTAACTGACTGCATGATAGGTTAAATAATAGGTCAGTTTTAACAACTAGGATTTTTACCTTTTTTAAAGGACACTATGAAAGCATGATTCAGCACATCTAATTCCCTTTCCATACATGCTTTCCAAACACAGCTTTCCTATAATGAAGTGAGGAAAAATACTTCAGTGAATTCTTTTGTTAAATTCTATTAGCATGTTTCTACTAATTAAGTCATAAATATGCTGGGACATAAATATTTATAATTGACCTAATTAGTGGAAGATACAAAAAGAATTTTTTTTCCTCCTTTTTAACTTTAGTGATTATATTTCACCAATTCTTTCTTTAAAACAAGGCCAAAAAGTGGTATAGGGCTTTCACAAGATCCCCAGGTAATTCATGTGCCCATTTAAGTGCCTGAGAAACATTGGTATATAGTGCAGGCTGACCTTAAGAAGGGTGGGTAATTCTACCTGGTTTTAATGGACTAATTCTCAACCTCAGCACTGTTGACAATTTGGGCCAGATTCATTCTTTGTTGTGGGGAGACTATCTTGTGCGTTGTAGGAGGTTCAGCAGCATCTCTGGCCTCGACCACTAGATGCCAGTAGCACCCTACACGCCCCCACCCCCACCCCGGTCGTGACAACCAAAAAAGGTGCCTCCAGATACTGACAGATGTCCGGGCTGGGGGAAGAAAACAGTCCCCAGCTGAGAACCGCTGGTGTAGTGGGACAGCATTTTAGAATACAAGCAGTAAGTTAAGACATGGAGGAGGGGGGCAGAGCGACTGTAAATATGCTTTATCCCTTCTCACACCCCCAAATAGCGAACATTCTTTTATATAATAAGCATGTGTGAATTTTTATGTAGATTTAAATTTATAAAAGAGCTGGTTTTTATATTTACTGGGCAAGACAGGCTAAAAGGAAATCAGTGCTGGCAATCTGAATGGAGCCACAGTAATATGTTTTAATTCTAGATTCAGCTTTGATCAAGAACAAAATTTCCTCCACAGCCAAGTTTCTGCTGTCCACCTTAGCAAAAAGTCCTAGCTCATAGGCTGCGTACTGATTTTAAGTAGTGTGTGAGGTAATTTCAGAAAATAAAAAATGTGAGCAACTTCTTGGATTTAGTTAATCCAAGATTTAGACGGACCCAGTAGGTGGTGATTAGTGCAAATAACCAGCCGCACTTTGAGTTCCCAAAGAGCCCTGAAACTGCTTCTAGTAAGTAAGTATCTTCAGAATTTAGTGTGCTAACAAACATTTATCTTATTCTTTTACAGTAAAAGGCAGTGCTGGTGTGGTGCTGTACTCAGGTTACTGTAATGTGTTCAGAAGTCACTATTAACAAGGCACATCACCAGGTATAGTTCTTTGTATTAGGAAAAATAGGCACAGGCAATCTGAAAAAAATAGATTCTAGGTTTAAAATATCAAAGCTATTATCTTTGGCCTATGGCAAGACCTTGTATCCCTACAGAAAATGGTTTCCAAATGAGACACTGATTGCATGAGCAGTATTAACTGGAGCGCTTTCCCAGGTTCTACCCAAAGAGACTGCTTCAGAAGACTAAAGTAGTGGGGAGGGAAGACCTGGAATCTGTTTAAATATGCTCCCCAGCTGATCCAAGCAGCTAGGGTTGGACGTGAGTATACAATATTTGCCTTGTTGTTAGGGTTCTCTTTACTCCCTTACTTCACAATTACACAGTAATCGGTGTTAATAAGTGAATATCCTGCTCAAGCACCTCATGAGCCTGTCCTTGCCTGCTCACTGGTGGGGCTCCAGTTCTCTTCTGCCTCTGCCCTAGCTGAGGAGCATTAGCTCATTCAAAGACAGGGCCAGCAGTGCTCTCCTGCCTCCGTTTCCTGTCTACTAGATCATTCCTGTAAGCATAATAAACATGCTATTAAAAGTTTTTTGATCCTGTAAGCCCTCTCTAGCTATTACCTATTTTTCTGTTCTATAACCTTTGAAGCAGAACTCAAGGATTTTCTAAATTTCCAATCTTCTTCCCCCTCCCCACTCCTTTTGTCACCAATTTTTTTTTTTCAGTTGGGTATATTTTATTGTCACCAAATGTTTTTATGAGGAAAAAAGTCAAAACATAAAAGCTGAAAGATTGGTCCAACGATCCACTTAAAGGGAACAATTATTTTGCCATATTTTTTTAATGTGTGTGTGTGTGTATATATATATATATATATATATATTTTTTTTTTTTTTTTTTTTTTGC